ATCCCCATTTCACAGGTGGGAAGACAGGCACGGTGCTTAACTAGCTTGCCCAAGGTCACATGACTGGCGAGTAGCAGTGCCGGGGCTCGAACCCCCATCAGAAAATGTGGTGTCCACTGCGGCCTGGAAGGTCGCCACAGATAGGGCCCGGGGTTGTGCTGACGGCAGGAAGCCATGCCCACTGAAGTCCCTCGGAAAGCAGCGCCATTTCCGCTCTTCCCGTGGCCTGTTGATGGGCACCTAATGGACCATGGGGCTGATGGCCTGGAGCTGTGTGAAAGTCACCGATGGTTGTCAGTGGTTTCCAGGGACTGTGGAATCATCCAGCACTTTATGGAGAGCCGCTGTGAGAAGATCCTCCCGTTGGGGCAGGAGCAGGGGTGGGAGGAGTGGGGGGGCAGAGAAGAGCCAGGTACCCCTCACACTTACTTTCTAGGAAAATCCACAAAAAGTGTCACAGCCAAGGTGATGATGAGGTCAAAGATCATCAGCTTGTACATTTCCTGCCCAACTTGGGTCTCCCAGCACTGAAACCAGAGACAGGGAGGGACACTGAGACCCAGCTCGGGGCAGAGAAAGCCAGGTTCTCAGCCTCCTCCCAACGCCCTTCCCACCCCCAGATCCTGCTACCCCTAAAGGCCACCCGCTGACACCCCTCTGGACTCCAGCACAGACTTTGGTTTTCAAGCCCTTAGAGGTGTCTGGAGTGCCAGACTGTTACAAAGCAAGAGAACAGATCACCTGGGATTTAGACCCAGGGCTTCAAGGCTGTTCTCTTCACCTTGAGCCTGTTACTCCAAAATGACTCACCCAGCAGGATGTTCCCATTCCCGCAGCCTCACCGGGTAGATTTTCTGGTTGTAGCCACAGAGCTCACAGGAGTTGTTATCACAGGATCTAATCTTGGAGCCCAGGGTGAACACCAGCACACAGATGGTGGCCAGCCGCATGAAGACACACCTGTGGGGAGAGAGGGAGGAGAATGGAGGGGAAGAGCATGAAGACACACCTGTGGGGAGAGAGGGAGGAGAATGGAGGGGAAGACGAGACCCGGGGGCAGGCTGGGCCCTTGGGACTGGGGTTAGGGAGCAGAGAAGCAAACCCACAAATGGGTAGTGGTTCTGTTTGGGATGATGAGCAGATTTTTAAAATGGATAGTGGTGATGGTGGCTNAAACTTGAAAGATCCTCATTTTAAAAATAAAGCTATGAGGGGCCGGCCGAATGGCTCAGTTGGTTAAGAGTTTGCTTAAGAGCACGAGCTCTGCGCAACAGGGTCGCTGGTTCGATTCCCACATGGGCCAGTGAGCTTCGCCCAAGCTGCGCCCGAGCTGAGCTGCAGCTGAGCTGCCAACAGGTGGCAGGATGGCTCAGCTGGTGAGAGCATGTGCTCCTCACAACAAGACTGCCTGTTGGATGGTGGGCTATGCCCACCCGCGGCTGGGACTGAATTCGGCACCTTGAGCTGAGCCGCCGCCCAGATGGCTCAGTAGATAGAATGTGTGCTCTTAACAGCAAGGTTGCCAGTTTGACTACCGCATGAAAAAAATAATTAAATAAAAAATAAAGCTATGAAAGACTACTTGGGGACAATGGGAGAAATTTGAAAATGGCAGGAATATGATGTTCATATTAATTGTCTTAAGGGTGATAATGTGATTGTGAACACATAGGAAGGAGAATGTCTTTATTTTTAGGAGCTGCACGCTCAAGTGTTTAGGGGCAAACATCATGGTGCCTCCAACTTAATTTCAAATGGTTCAACACACACACACACACACACACACACACACACACACACACACACACAAATGTATGCAGACAGAAATAAAACAAATGCAGCAAAAGGTGAATATTTGGGACATCCAGGTGAAGGAAGGGTATGTGAGTTTTCACCAAAGTTATTTCTTCAACTTTTCTATACGTTCGAAAATTTTCAAAACAAAAAGTGGAGGAAAAAAATAAAATTACAATGGAAAAAAAATTAAATTAAGCCCTACACAGAATTGCCTACATTCACATTACAAAGTTCTGTATATGAGACTTTCCATTCTAATCCTGTTTTTCTGGATAAAAATAAATTCCTGAAAAGAATCGAAGTGTTGTTTAAGAAAATGAATGACCAATTTCAGATCCGTTCATACAATGGAATACTAAAGAGCCATTGAAACAGACACACGTATAGATATGACTGTCTCCCAAGAGAAACTAAGTACGTAGTTGGGAAATCGGATTGGAAAACGAATTTCCACCGTATAGTCTTTTACACTTTTTGTTTTTGTGCCATGTGAATGTACTTATTATATATATATATATATATATATATATATATATATATATATATATATATATATATATTTTATTTTTTTTTTAAATCATAGCTAAGAAATATTTTTAAAGAATGGGAGTCCTATATGTGCTGGCATGGAAAAGGGCACAACATAAAATTAAGAGAAAAAAATAAGCTGCCAAACAGGATTATAGTATTATTCCACATGTATTTTTTTAAAAATTACATTTTTCATAGTGACTTTCTAGAAATATTTGTAAAACGTTAACAATGGTTACGTCTGCCAAGTGAGATGAAGGTGAGAGGACAGGAGCAATTTTTTCTCTTAACTTATACTTTTCTGTACTATTTGAAATTTTTTATCTATAGTATATATTACTATAACAATAACAATATACATTCAAATTAGTTAAAAATCAAAATGTGAGAGGCAGATTCCAAGTTCAAGGATTTTAATTTAAAGATGAAGAAATGAAATTCCATGAGACTGTAAGTCAAGGATTGGCAAACTACAGCCCAGGGCTAAATCTGGCCCACCACTTGTTGTTTTATAAATAAAGTTTTATTGGAACAGAGTCACACCCATTAGTTTATAGCAGTCTATGGCTGCTCTCATGATACTACACACATAGAGTTGAATAACTGCGAAAGACACCATATGGCCCACAAAGTCTAAATTATTTACTTTCTTGTCCTTTATAGAAAAAGTTTGCCAGCCTCTAGTATAAATGATTAAACCCCTAGGGCTTGACGCCTCAATTTCTGATCCTCAGTCTGGAGCATTTCTGCTCCTTCCAAATTCCACATGAGGGTCTACATTCCTAGAGTCATGTGTTAAATGTCTTTATACCCCTAGCATCTAGCAGAGTGCTTGGCACATAGAACGTAATAAATAAATGTTTGCTAAGTGCAAACGCTTAACCAAAGTGGCAGGAATATGGGTGATTTCCTGCTTCTTTCTGTTTTTCCCCTAGATTCCAAGTTTTCTACAATGACCATGCAATATTTTCATAACCAGAAGCACAGAAACAATCAATCCAAAGGGAGGACAAGAAGCGAGGTCTTAGGAAAAGGGAGCTGGGTAGGACAGACTCAGCTGGCACTCTCAGAAACAAGGGTGACCCTGCAAGTCCAAGTTCGAGAAGTGGACCCAGACTTCCCAGCATCCAGAGACAGGTTCCAAAACAAGGGTGGGCTTGGCTACGCCTGGAGTGACGTACTGACCCCTGCAGGTGACGCACCATGAGCAAAGTCCATAAAAAACACAACGGCTCCTTTGACGTGAAAGAAGGACATGCCAGGATGCAGAAATATGTTCTAGAAAACAGTCGTACTTACTGCGCCATGCTGATGGTCAGAGGTATTATTGCCAAACACAGGCCAATCAACAACACCAACAGGAAGAAGAAATTAGAGTTGGATGCTCTGAACTGCCTCGGGGAGGGTCTGCAGGTATGAAGAAGGCTCATCTACAGGGAGAGAAAGAAAGAAAAAAAAAATTAAGAGCGCAGCCTCCTAGACAACCAACGAGCACATCCACACATTGCAGTGGGAATGGCAATGGGTCTAACCTTTCTAGAGAGCTGTCAGCACTATCGATCCAAAATGAAAAGTGTTTAATCCAGACCCCCAACACTGGGGGATTCGTCTTGATGAGAAAACAGGAAAAATGGGCCAAAATACATGTATGTGGATGTTTACTGCTACAGTTGTTGATAACAGAATAACTAGAAGCAACCGAAATAGCTATCACTGGGGGTCCTTAAGGGTTAAAGTGCAATCACACAGTGGTCTGCCCTGTATCCCTTAGCAAGAACGAGAAAGTGAGCTTTACACCTTACGAGGCACTATGAAATGGAAAAGGTAAATTTCAGCACTCTGCTCTGTATCTCACTGAAGTTTTGAAACTGTACTCTTCATTTGGGGTCTAAATATGTGTTACATGGATCTGCGATAATATATAACAAATTGGGAGATATCAGCCTTGAATTTTTTTACAAGCATCTTTATTTCTCCTAGATATTAAAAGTAAATACTTCCACGGAAGGAAAGAAGGCTTGAAGGAAATACCAAGTGGGGAGAAGGAGAGAGGTACAGTAACAGCATAACATTTCTCCTTAATGTTTTTCAAAGCGGCATTACTGGGACGAGGCAGCAAGCTCTTCTCACTTCAGCAGCAGCCAAAACATCTTATGAGTGGGGGGCGCTGAGTACCCAGGACACGCGGTGTCCTGCATGGGGGCAGCCGGCCAGTCAGGTCTGGAGTGACTGTCAGAACTCTGCCCAGGGCCCATGGCCCATTCCATCACCCCCACACTGTCTTTCCTGTGCTGCACACTGGGGAAGCCACTGGCCAACCAGTATTTTCTGGAAAGGGGAAAAGATCCGAAGAGCTTTCTCATTTCTCACATCCATCTCTCCTTGGGAGACTTCAGCCAAATGAAAGCATCAGCAAACTCTTCAAAGGCCAAAACATCCCAGTAGAAAGTTTGGCCCAATTCAAAGCCTTGCTTACCCGATTATGTGGTTCTGGAGTGAGATACACCTGGTTTCAAATCCCAGGAGCCGTGTGTAAGCTGTGTGACCTTGGACCAGTTACTTAACGTCTCTGAACTTCAGCTTCCTAAGTGTTCAGCAGAGTAGGAGTACATGGTATTATTAGCATCTGCTATTAGCCTCATCATTATTACTAATATTATTATTTTTCCATTTCTGAATCCTCAGGGCTTAGCAAAATAATCAATAAATGTCGGGCTTATTAACAGAACGTACCTCTGGAAGAAGGAAGTGACTGTATACATATCTGTATTGTTTAAATATTTAATGTTGAGCATACAGTGCCTCTATAATAAAGACAAAAGTTGTATTAATAAGCCCAGATAGGTCAGTGGTCTGCAGGGCCACTTCGTACATTAAGCATTCAGTTCAGGCACGGTGTGTAGGGCCTGTGAGCTGTTCAAGGACCTACACAAATAATGGAGACCTGCAAATAAACGTACTGGCTCCAAAATCCAAACAGAAAACTACAAAATTTAAATTAATAAAGATTCCATTAAACACCACCAAAATGTCCCACTGTCAACTAACTGATCAATCAATTGCAACTCAACTCTTACACAGTTACATATAAAAAGGACACTTCAGGGCCGGCCGAGTGACGCGATGGTTAAGAACTGGCTTGGGACGCCAGAGGGCCCCGGTTCGGATCCCACATATGAGGGCCAGTGACACTGCCCTCTACAGCTAAGATGCTGAACAACAGCTCAACCTGGAGCTGGGCTGCCATGAGTCGCCGGCGACGGCGTAGGCTGCAGTCCCTGTGGCAGTGGGTTGCCATGGGCTACCGTATGTAGCCAGCAGCCAGCGTGAGCGGCCAGCAGCCGCAGTGAGCGCCGTCCAGAAGCCGGCGACTGATCTGCCTCTCCCGGGAAGAGCGCAATGATGGTGCCAACTTGGGCCAGTGAAGCAACGTCCTCCACAACTAGACTGAAGAACAAAAGGACAGCAACTTGTCTGTTCCTCTTCCCCCAATTCCCCAGCACTGTTCCCATCCCTCCAATTCCCCAATAAAAAAAAATCTTTAAAAAAAAAAAGGACACTTCAATCACGGGAGCGAAACAATTCATAACAAAACCTTCAAAATCATGAATACGTGAAAATCCATCCAAAGTCTTTTTGCCAGAATAAAAATATCTATCCAATAAGGGATGTCATTTTGATACATCTGACAGGATGTGGGTAAGCTCCAAACATACACCTTTCAAGTCAAGCAAGGATGGTTCAGGGTCTCAGCCCCCCTATCCCCACCTTCCTTACCTCTTTCACGTAGAAGATGATAATGAATTTCAAGGTTGCAATGGCAGGGAGAAGAGGTGAGAAAAAGGCTCCGATCCAGCAAATGGTTTGCCCATACACGATGCCCAGGACGTTATCAGGAATGGAGAACTCCTGCTGTCCCCAGCACTGCAGCAGCTTCCAGTTGGAGCAGTAGGTTACCAGGAGCCTGGGAACAAATGAAACCGTTTTTCACTTGGACTGCCAGCGTCTGCCAAGGCCACAGAACCACGTCTACAAAATCACGGCTGTTTCCGCACAGGTCTCTCGTGGAAACTGGTGAGTCACAAGTCTAGATGATTCCAAAAAGAGTGAATTCTGGAATCACGAAGACCAGGGTCCGAGTCTCAGATCTACAACTTACCAGCCAATGAAATTTAGACGAGGCTCACTTTTCTCATCTGGAATGTGGGGGGATGGTAACACAACCTATTTGATCAGCTCGTGGTGACAATAAATGACATGGGCAGTCTCTGTGCTCTGGCTTGCCACCGAGCCCCAAACGTCATGTGCATCCACACATAAAATGGCTTGTGGGGACCCTACCACCTTAGCATGCTGGCATCCTAGAAATTTCCTTACCACCAGGGGCCTGGGATACACACATACCATGGTTCACTGTGGCTTTGCCCTGTATCAGTAAAAATACTGGCAACAACACATATGCCCATCAGCAGAGGCTGGATTGACAAATTATAAGCCATGGATACAGTGCAATAGTAGACCGTCCTTCAAATGAATGTGGGAAGTTCATGTGTCCTGACACGGATATTTTGTTTGCAGGGTATAAAAAAAAGAAAGCTGCAGGCCACTGTGGATATAACATGATCCCATTTAGGGGTTGGGGAAAGAACCCTTCTCTTGGGACTGTGTGTTTATTTATATATGTATTTATGCAAATGTGTTTTTATTTTCAAGGACCGCTGGATCTTCCCTAACATGTAACAGTGGCCTCCTCTGAGGAGTGGGGTGGGGTCTGGCGAAAAACGAGAGCTCCTGCTATTCTCCAGACTTCTGTATTTACTTAAATACTTAAATTCTAAGTACTTTTGAATTTTCAACAAGCACATGTTCGTGTCATGTTTGTGTAAATTTTTTTTTAAAGAAACGTTTCTATTTTAATGTTTATTTTTCAGGGCTTATGAGACCTCTGAGATGCCTGGAAAATTTGTAGATCTGAGGGCCGGCTGAGTGGCTCAGTTGGTTAAGAGCTCGCTCAAGAGTTTGAGCTCTGAGCAACAGCGGTTCGAGTCCAGCCCGAGCTGAGCA